AGTTCACAAAGGTGATGATGCAGGAAACATCCAAAGAAGATGGAAAGAATACACAGAGTCACTGTACCAACAAGAATTGGTCAATCTTCATTTCAGGAGGTGGCATATGATCTAGGACCAATGGTATTGAAGGAGGAAGTCAAAACTGCAATGAAGGAATAGGTGAAGAACAAGGCTCTGGGAATTGACGGAATACCCATTGGGATATTTCAACAAACGGATGCCCCACTGGAGGCACTCACTTGGTTATGCCAAGAGATTTGGAAGACGGCTACCTGGCCAACTGACTGGAAGAGATCCATATTTGTACCCATTCCAAAGAAAGGTGATCCCACGGAATGTGGAAATTATCAAATAATATCATTAATACTGCACGCAAGTAAGATCTTACTGAAGACAATTCAAAAACAGTTGCAGCAGTATATTGATGGAGAACTTTTAGAGGTGCAAGCTGGATTCAGAAGAGGACATGGAACAAGGGATATCATAGCGGCTGTCAGATGGATCTTGGCTGAAGGCAAAGAATACCAGAAAGATGTTTACTTGTGTTTTATTGACTATGCAAAGGCATTTGATTGTGTGGATCATGACAAATTATGGATAACATTGAGAAGAATGAGAATTCCTGAACACTTGATTGTACTCATGAGGAACTTGTACATCGACAAGGAGGCTGTTGTTCTACGGGAACAAGGGGACACTACATGTTCTAAAATCAAGAAGGGAGTGTGTCAGGGTTGTGTCCTTTCCCCACACTTAATCTATATGCTTAGCAAATAATCTGAGAAGTGGAGTATATGAAGAAAAACGTGGCATCAGGATTGGAGGAAGAATCATTAACAACCTGAGATACGCAGATGATACACCTTTGCTTGCTGAAAGTGAGGATGACTTGAGGCACTTACTGATGAGGGTTGAAGAATACAAAGTACAGTATGGATTACGTCTCAATATAAAGAAAACAAAAATTTTCACAACTGGACCAGTAAGCAGCATCACGATAAATGGAGAAAAGATTGAGGTTGTCAAACAATTCACATTGCTTGGTTCTACAATTAATGCCAATGGAAGCAGCAGTCAGGACATTAGACGATGTGTAGCACTGGGCAGGTCGGCTGCGAAGGAACTCTTTCAGGTGCTGAGGAGCAAGGATGTCTCCTTGAGGACTAAGGTACACCTGACACAGCCATGATACTTCCAGTCGCTTCATATGCATGAGAGAGCTGGGCAATGAATAAGGAAGACCGAAGAATAGTTGATACTTTTGAGTTGTGCTGGCGAAGAATGCTGAAAGTACCATGGACTGCTAAAAGAGCTAACAGATGTGTCCTGGAGGAAGTGCAGCCGAATGCTCCTTAGAAGCAAGAATGGCCAGACTTCATCTCACCTATTTTGGTCACGTGAGAAGGGACCATTCCCTGGAGAAGGATGTCATGCTTGGTAAGGCGGAGGGTCGACGAAAGAGGGGAAGGTGTTCAACAAGATGGATTGACATGGTGGTAGTGACAATGGGCTCAAGTATAGCAAGGATCATGGAGCTGGCGCGGGATTGGGCAGTGTTTTGTTCTGCTGTGCATGGGGTAGCTATGAGTCGGAAACAACTCAATGGTACCTGATAACAACAACAATCACAAAGGATCACATACATGATTTCCTTTCTATGAAATGTCCAGACTGGTAGCTTTAGAGACAGAAAGTAAATTATTGGTTGCATAGGTGAACCCACTAGAGGCTCCACAGGAGAAAAGATTTGATGGTCTGTTCCCACAAAGATTTCAGCCTAGGAGACCCTATGGCTGTTCTTCTCAGTCCTATAGGGTTGCTATGAGTGGGAATTGATTTTAGAGCACACAACAATAACAAAACAAACAGGAATGATTTGAGGTAAGGGTCAGGGTTTACTTTTTTCCCAATTTTAGTTATTCTATCACCATTTGTTATAAAGATGATTCTTTCCCTATTGAATTATATTGGCAATCCTGATGAAAATCAGTATTTGGAATCAATATATTCCATTGATTGTATATGTATTGTCTTTACATCAGTAACACACTGTCTTATCTACTGTAGCTTTGTAGTATTTCTTAAAATCAGGTAATGTTAGTTTCCAACTTTGTTCTTCTTTTTCAGAATTGTTTTGGTCATTCTAATCCTTTTAATTTCTATATAAGTTTTAAAATCAAGTACAATTCTGCAAACAGGGATTGTGTTGAATCAATAGATTAATTTGATATCTTAACATCCCCCAGCATTACTTTTCCTCTAGGGTATCTATTCGGTCTTTAACATCATAGTGGTATCACTCTAGTAAGCCCCATATAATCTTCCTTATTAGTATTATATTGATACACTCAGCCCAATTATAACTGAAGACTTGCAGGGAAGGATCCATACAGATTTATTGAGCCCCCTGCTCTGCATACTTCCCTCCGTTATAGTGCCCTGCTTTAGCTACCCCAAACTGATTTCTTTTCTCAGTTCAATAGAACTACTGTGCTTTGCTTGATATCCAGTTCACTGCACTGAGGTCAGAAAATTGTCACAGAGAACGAGCTAGAGTGATATTGGTACTCATCTCATGAGTTTCCTTCTCTAAGGGATCACAATCTTGCACTTGATTTCCAGTGATTGAAAACATTTGCCTCATATATTTTGTCTTGTTTTATGGTTGTTTACATCAGGAAGGTACTAGTTACCAATATAGCTGACCAAATATCTTAAATGCCCTTTGTATGTTTGAAAGGAATGTATATTCTTTAATTGCTGGGCAGAGTTCTAAATATAAAACTTTTAAAATATTTTGTGGTTTGTCTTAATTTCATAATTAACTTTTTTTTTAATTAAAGTCTTCCACTATAATTACGGAATTCCTGTGTTATTTATGTTTTAGCTGTATTATTCAGTGTATTCATCCTTGAAATATTTAAATCCCACTCAGTGGGCTTAAATTTAGTCATGATGTAATAAATATTTCTCCTTATTAACAAATTTATTTTAAATAAAGTAAAAGGAAAAGATTACATACAAAGGATGAATATTAGAAGCTGGAAAATAATAGAATAATGCTTTTAAAATTCTGATGAAAATTATCTTCAACAGAATTTTATTTCTAGCCAAACTATCAATGAAATGTAAGAGTTAAATAAAAACAACTCACCTGGCATGGTTGTTATTTAGGAAGCCATTCTACTGAAACATTAACCAAAAAACTCCAAGGAGTAAGAAAACAGTTGGAATAGGCTTAAGTGATTTGCCTGAGGTCACACATTTGGGCAATAGTTTTAGGGAGCACAATTCCAGATTGAAGCCTGAGGACCTAGTACTTCAGAAAGCATATTCCTTAAAGAAAAGAACCTGCTAAAAAAAATAAGAAACTTGATATGTTTGAATATATTCAGAGGAGATTTTTAATTTTCTAGAAAAATAATCAGGCTGAATTAGTGATTGGTAACTGAAATTAAGCAGAGACCATTTTAAATTAAATTAGGAGCTCTGGTAGCATAGTGCCAAGGCACTTGACTGCTAACCAGGAGGCTGGCGGTTCAAACCCACCAGCCACTCCTCGGAAGGAAGGTTGGGCAATTCTACTTCCGTAGTGATAACTGCCTCGGAAACCCAAGGAGGGGTTGCTAAGAGTCGGGGCCAACTCAATGGCAAATAACACCAATAACAACAACAATTTTAAATTGGGGAAAATAAAGCATCATGCAAGAAAGGAAATTGACTACCCAATGTGGCTCAGCCATGATTAATTCATATGTAAGTAGTGAAACACTGATTGTTGATATAATAAAAGTAGTGCTATCTCGAAAAGAAGATTGGGCAATCTACTTTATTAGATACACTGCCTCGGAAACCCAAGGAGGGGTCACTAGTAGTCAGATCTGACTTGATGGCAGTGAGTTTGATTTTGTTTTTGGTTTATAAGAGTATGGAAAAAGTGTTTTTTTTTTTTTTAAATATGTGTATGTTGAGGGAGATGTTTATCATTAAATGGATGTCTAGAACTTGTACACTATTTTGTTTGGAAACATGGAGTTATACCAGAACAAACAGCTTAAATTGGAAGTGGTTACCTCAGAGGAATGGAAGTAGGGGCTCCGTGGGAGGATGGTAGTAGAGGCCTGATAAGTTTAGTTGTATTTGGCTTTTTATTTAGTTTATTTGTCTTGTTGAAACTTACTTTTGAAAAGAAGGAAAAACAAAAGGAAGAAAGATCGGGTAACTTGCTCAAGCTCACAAAACTAGGACCAAGTGTCAAACTTGGCTTTGCCAGTTGTTGTACTCCCACCCTTCATTCTGAGGAGGAAATTGTCCTGAGCACAATTGTTTCCTGCATAATTCTGAAATTGTGCCTAAATGTTAATGACTATTATAAGTAGGTATCTGGTTTTCATACTCTCCTCCTGAGAACTGTAACTCCTGTCCAGAACTGTATGTATAACAGGACCATGGTAAATATATGTGGAATGCACGTGAAGAATGAGAGCTGGGAAAAATCAGAGAAGTTTGATTCTGGGTGGCTTTAAATATGAGAAAACATTAGACATGAAGGATGAGAAGGGGACATGAAAATTAGAATATATGTGACTACTGGGGGAAATGAAATGATCTCAACTAGTAAAGGTATTTTGCCTTAGTTGTTGTTGTTATGCGCCGTCGAGTCGGACCCGGCTCACAGTGACTCCTCCTTGGGTTGCCGAGGCAGTATCACTACGGAAGTAAATTGCCCAACCTTCCTTCCGAGGAGTGGCTGGTGGGCTTGAACCACCAGCCTTCTGGTTAGCAGTCAAGTGCCTTAAGCACTATGCTACCAGAGCTCCTATTTTGCCTTAGTAGAGGTACAGTTTATACCATGGGGAATCAAAGGCTTTAAATATCTTATATTGTAAGCTTCAGTTTTCACAGACTTTTGTGTTTGCTTGTTAGTAAATACTTTTAGGATAAATGTCTCTGTACATGACAATAAATTTTTTAAAAAATTGATAAATTTCCGCCAGTGCACAATGCCTCATACATAACAAACCTCAGTGAAGTGGTTTGTAGAGTCACGGCGTTAGAACTGAAAGGAACCTTAGAAAGGTAAGTACAACTAAATGAGGCCTTACTATAAACAATTAAATTCCATCAGTTAGTATGTTTTCATCTGCCAGTAAACATTGTTTAAACAGTAAGAAACATAAATAAAGGAATGAATGAGTGAGTGAATAAACAGACAAATAATGAACGTAAGTTCATTTATCAAAAAGTTTAGAGGTAGAGTAGCTCCAGGTTAGTTGATTGAGCACTTCAAGGGCTTCACCAAGGATCTTTCTTTCCATCTGTTCGTCCACGTTCAATTGATTACACAAAGCGTTCTAGGCAATACATCCTCAGACAAGGTCTTAAGAGTAGAAAAAGATGGAGGCGGGAAGGTGTATCTTTTTCTCCTATCCTTTTGTAAAAAAAGCTTTCCCAGAATTCTGTACAGACTTCCATTCACATCTCATTGCCAAATTAGTTTCCATTTTTATTCCTAAAACTATCACTAATCGAAGGAAGTGAAATTACCATAATGGACTTAAGAGTAGTGCCATCTAGAGAGAAGGGCCTGCTTACGTGCATGGCTGAGAGCTCTCCTGCCCTAAAGAAGGGAGGGATTAGTCTCCACTATGAAGAGCCTTCCAGACTTTGCCTACATGCTTCCTGCTTCCCAAACTGTAGTCTGTTGATCCTGATCCTGAGTTGTAGCCTGTTACTTCCTTAATAA